AACATTTTGATCAAAGATTCTATAGAAGAATCCTGACTTTCTGGAACCATGCAGAATTGAAGACCCTGGAAACTACTGCCCTGAAATAATCCTTAAAGTTTAAACCAAAAATATCCCTAAATCTTCTTAAAACCAAACAAGTTCTTAGCTTAACTAGTAAAGAATAGCGTAGTGGTTACGAATCGGGCTGCTAACCTCAAGATCAGCAGTTCAAAACTACCAGCTGTTCCGCGGGAGAAAGATGAGAGTTTCTGCTCCTGTAAAGATCTACAGCCTCGGAAACCCTATACAGGTTCGCTATGAGTTGGAACCGACTCGACGGCACTTAACAACAACAATATAGAATTTGAGTCAAGTATGATTTAAACTGAAAGTTTGAGAGTTCAAACTCACCAGCTGTCCCTCAGAAACCCTATACAAGGTCGATATGAGTCAGAACTGACTTGATGGCACTTAACAACAGCAACAATATAGGATCAGACTGACAACAGCAACCCAAAAGATTAGATGGGAACTTTAGGGGGCAGTGAGTTCATGTTAATGAGGAAGTAACAAGGAGGGTTAGAATGGTTTCAGAAATGGTTAGAGTGGTTGAAAACGGGAAGAATCAATGTCACTGAATTGTTCATGTAGAAGTTGTTGAATTGGTATATGTTTTACTGTGTATATGAAAAAAAAAATGCACAAAGGAAAAACAGAAATCGCCATAATCCCACCATGCAGAGATAATCACATTTTTGAGTACTCTTATTATTTTTTCTATCCACATATATATTTCTAACAAAAGCTGGCTCATACTATGCATACATTTTAGGTGTTGCTTTATCTTTAAGAGTTGTTGTTGTTGTTAAGTGCCATCGAGTCAGTCAGTTCCGACTCATAGCGACCCTGTTTCCAAGGAGCAGCTGGTGAGCTTGAACTGCCAACCTTGCAGTTCAAACGGCTTTGCAGTCTGGCGCAATAACCCACAGCGCCACACCAGGACTCCATCTTTAAGAGTAATAAAGCCACAAAGCCATATTAGAGGAAAATTGAGAAAAGGAAAAACTACTCATAATCCTTTATCACCAAACAGAAAAACCTTTAATATTTTAGTATATTTCCTCCCAATTTGTTTTGCTATTTACACAAATATTTTTAACACAAGTAGGGTCATACTGATTGTGTACTGTTCAAATTATGAATTCGTTTTAATTATAAAAACAATATAGAATCATAGGAGTCCTGGTGTGGCACTGCAGGATAATGCGCTGGATTGCAAGGTCAGTTTGAACCACAAGGTCGGTGGTTCAAACCCACCAGCTGCTCCTCAGAAACCCTATACAGGTTCACTATGGGTCAGAAGCGACTTGACAACACTTAACAACAACAATGCCACTACTCAATTATAATCATTATTAACATTTTGGTATATTTACTTCTAATATTTTTCTATGTACATATAAGTTTAACAGAAGTGGGAACATACTATTTCTGTGGTTTATGAGTTAAAAGTTCACATTTAATTATAAAAATAATATAATAATATTGTATAAAATGAGGAAAATATTTTTTAAATCACTTTTAACCCTATTGTCTTATGGGCACTGTTATTTTGTTGTTTTCCTGCCTTTGTTTCATATGCTTATTCATACCAGGTTGGAAACATAGTCTTTAATTTTGTACCCTGTGTCCTTTGCAACTTGGCATCATATTTATGCAACTTTGTACCCAGTAATTTTTATTTAATATTTTATTGTGAACATTTTTCCTAGAATAAAATTTTTTGAGAACAGGATGTGGTTTTTTGTTTGTTTGTTTTGTTTTGTTTTGTTGTTGTTTTTTAAGTATCAGTGCGCCAAGAGATACCATGGGCATATAGATTGCTTTTCATTTTTCACTATTTTAAAAAATTCTGCTTCAAACATTCTTAAGCAGAGACTTGTGCTCATCTTTTATTGGTCCCAAATTTACTCAGGCAGCCCTAGGGTGAGATTTTGAGAACAAATATGTATTTTCCTCTTCCTCTCTTCCTTTCCTGAGACCTTCATTCCCACTCAGTCTAGCTTTTTAAATTAATCGGTATTATAGAACTCAACGTGTGTGAACTGAGGCAGGGCTAGGAGGAGAGAGGAAAAGAATCAGAAAGTACAGTGTAATAACAGTCAGCATTTATTGAGCACTTAATACATGACAAGCAGCCATGGTATCAGGACAAGGGTAAGGATTTGCAGACCTAGACTCAAAACACTCAGTGCCTTTGCTGTGTGGACTTGGGCAGATTTCAGAAACTCCGTTTCACCTTCAGAACAGTTGTGGGAATTGATGGGAACATGCTTTGCCCAATGCTGGCGAACAGGAGGTTCTTCCTGGGTGATCACCCCTGTACTCTCTCTCCTTGCTTCCTGAGCTAGCAGCCTAATTGCCAAGTTAGAGATAAAGAGTTCAGAGAGTTCTGAGCTTGGCTGGAGCCAGTGAACCAGGGGATAATTGCAGAGAAATGAAAATGTTTCCTTTGCCCCCTCCCAGCCTCTGTAACTAACCTCCTCTCTCCCATTCACCCTCAAAAAGAAGGGGGTGTCTTTTGTGCTCCAAAGCTGAGGGCTTGAAGCCTCTCTCTTTCCTATTCCCCAGGAGGTGGGCTGTGGAGATGACAGGGAGTCACCAGTAGGGAGGCCCTTTCATGCATGTGGGCACAGAGAAATGTAGTGGAGGGCGCTCCTTTTTCTGCCCTTCAATGGTCCGGATGGGGGAGGAGACAGGCTATTGAGCAACTGCTAGGGAGACACTCCCGAAGCCGAGATGAACATATGCCTCTTTCTAACAATTGATTTGGGAGTCATCCAATAGATGGAGGGTGGATCCGCACCCCCTGGATCCGGAGCCTGCAGCGGAGAAGCCGCCGCTACAGCCACCGCCACTTTCAGACCGCTCCGGAGCTAGGGGGAGGGGGAGAGGTTCAGGGTCCAAATTAGCAACACACAATTGGAAAGCCTAGCGCCGGCTTATCCACCACGTGATTTTCACAGAAACATTTTTTCACTCCAGGCAAATACTAAGAAGTCTTCAGGGTGTATTTCGCATGCAAACCCTATAAGGCTGTACAGGAGCCTGACAGATCCCACGTTTAATCAAAGGGAAATGGGACGACCCCATGGTTCAGAGTTAGAAGAAAGTGCAGAGATGGAGTGTGGTGGTTACCAGAGGTTTGCATTAGGTGGGGGGTGGGGGCGCAGGGGTACAGCGAGAGTAACGAGCGCCCCCATTCGAGTGCCCAAAGGTAATGTCTAATGTGACATTACTCCAAAAGATGAATGGACGTTGATAGCTGTGATGCGTCAGCAGAAACACCTTCCCCTTTCTTGTCCTGCGGTCTCAGTCAGGTGCCCAGAGCAAGTGTCCCTTTTGTTCCCCTCCACACTTGGCAGCTTTAGTGGCTAGAGAAAGATTTACCTGGTTGGTGTCCAGGGCACTCGCCCCAGTTTCCTCCAGGTGCCAAAGAAGGGCCTGGATCCTTTCCTCCATTTGCTCCCCATCTGCATGTCAGTAAGCCGGTCAGTTCTTCAACAAACAGAACTTTGTTAGAAGAGCAAATACAGGACACTTAAAAGTAACTAAAGAAGAAGAAAAAGGAGAAGAAACCTTCAGGTCTTCAAAGTTAATTAAGATGACAGAACACATACTTAGTGACAAAGACGTCATGGTGTTTCCCGTCCCCCCCCCTTTTTTTTTAACATCAGGACTTTAAAAATAGCATGTTTTATAAACAGTGCCAACTGAGTAGTTATTGCTGAAAGGAGACACAAAAGGGAGTTTGATTGAGGGGTAATCCTGGTAGCCTTCCAGTAAGAGATGAGATGGGAGCTTGTTGGTGACAATGAACACAATTGAGGGAGAAAACCTGGACCTTATTCCCCAATTTATAATATAGTATCCCAACCCCAGAATGATGTGCTCCAAATGCAAAAATGATTTTTCTAGATGGGAATGATTCTATAATCATTAAAAAAAAAAAAAATGACCTGGCAACGTGGGAAAGCAGGAGATAGATCCCTTCGAACCTCGGCCCAAGCTCTTCATGCTTTGTAGTCTGTTCTTGGCTTAGGGGTGAGTTTTGTGAGCTGCTTCTGGCCCCTAGGTCCTGAGGGTATCATTTCTCAGTACCGCATCCCCCCAGTCTCTTTCCGCCCTGGGCAACACTAGACAGAAACTCTGGAACCCAACTCCAACTCAGGCCTGTGAGAGGAAGCCATCGCAGCCAGATAAGACCTCGGTGTGGCTCTGTCCCGAATCCGGCGACTATGAGGGGAAAGGGACCCCAGCTTCGGCCCTTCAACAAGGAATATGGTGCAACCCCAAAGCAAGCCGACTGGCTCCGAGAAAGCCCCTCAGAAAACCTAAATGCTGCTTAGCGGGTCCAGTCTCATAGGCGTCCGCCTCCTTTGGATCATTCCTCTCTGTCAAGCCCCCTGGACCCCTTTAGATTTAGGTCAGAAAACAGACACTAACAGCTCTCCTTCGCCTGAGCGAAATTACTAAGTGGAATTTATTGGGCAAGTCCATGCAGGGCGATGGGGAGAACCGGGGTCCAGATCCCTGGCCCCACTAGCTTTAGAAGCGCAGGCGCCGACCGGGGCTCGGAGCGAGGAATGCCCGTAGCCTGGGCCTACCAGCCCCACCCCGGGAGTCGTGGCTGGTCCCCGGGGCTACCGGACCGACCGGGCAGCAAGGACTGCGTTCCCCAGCCGACCCTTCGCTTTCACACGATCCGCGGTGACTGCAGCAGCTCGAGCGCCTTTAAAGGGCCACACACTCCAGCCACCACTATAAAATGTTCCTGGCGGCACAGCTGCAGAAGGGGCACCGCTGAGCTGCCGAAAGAAGGCTGGCTCCTCCCGGCCACCCGCCCGCAGCCCTCTGGCTAGGGGCCCTTCCCAACGACGAGGAAGAGGGTCAAGAAGACACAGTACCCGCTCGGCCCTCCGTGAGTATCCAGTTCAGATTTTGCCACCAACTCGCCCACGATCCAGGACATGTGCTAATAATGCTCTAAACCAGTTAAAAAGACGTGGAAATTGGGGGGAGGAAAAAAAGGTGGGAGGGGGAAGGGTCTGTCCTTCCTGGGATTCCTAGTCGAGACCAGCCTGCTGCCGTATGCGTGTGCGTCAGGACTCTCCCGGCGGCAATGAGGGTTTGAGAGCCGGGTCCCCCGCGCGGGGAAGAGAACACGGTGGCAGCCACCGCCACCGCCACTGCCCGGAGTCGGCGAGGAAGCTGCGGGCAGGCGGGCGGGCACTGGCGCTGGCCAGGACTGGTTGGCGCGACTCTGTGCGGTGCGGCGGCGGCGCGGCGCGGCGGTGAGGGCTTTCTCAGGCGCCCCGGGATCGGGTGGACACCGGTGCGGCCGCGGGCAAGGAGCGCGACCCTTTCGCGGCAGCAGCGGAGGCGTGTGTGCCAGGGGTTGGGTTCTCCACCGCTTCGCTCGCCGTTCACCTGGCTGAGCGCTTCCTTCTCCAGGACTAGCGGCTTCACTGAGGTAAGCTGGGCCGCCGGGTAGGCGGAGCGGGCTGGGAGCGAGCGGCGGGGCCGGAGGCTCTGGGGGACATGTTTTCTGTTTAAAGGCTGCTCTGCGGGGGACGAGGGGCCAGCCTGGCCAAATGCCCCCTTCTCTCGGGGAGACTATAGCACCTTTTCACCCCGCGCCCGCGCTTTCTTCAGCTTAGCTTGCACCGAGTTTGCTGGATGCTCCAGCTCGGGGTGGGGGTTGGGGTGGGGGCTGTACAAAGCTCAGGTTTCCTTCAAGACTGGATCAGGCTAGAGGGGCTTTTCGGCCAAGTTCAGGGCAACTGCGGTCTTGAAGTTAGCTAATTTGGGCAACTTGTCGCTGTTACCCAATCTCTCCCTTACACGCCCCCACACTCAAACACGCACACCCACGCACACACCCTCTTCTTATAAATGAGGGCCGTCGGGCCCCGCCATTCGCAGAGTCCCTGCTTAGCGGAGCGTGAGACTTGAAGTCATCGGACTACGAATCCTGGTCCTGTCCATCCTGGCCCCGCCACTTTCTAGCGCTGTGACCTTGGCAAGTTACCATACCTCTGGGAGCCTCTTCTCTTAGGTGGGGTTAGAACAACTGACTGCAGAAGGCTAAGCTATTGGGGGGTGGGGGGGCGGTAAGGCTCAGCCTGGAGCTTTGTCCCAGGGTTCTGTTGGCGCTCAGTTAAGTGTTGGTAAAGTGCCCGAGTGTCCGGCGCTGGAGTGTGCCCCCGCGCACATAAACCCTTGGGCTCCAAACTAGCCTGATAGACAGAGACCCCTCGCCCATTCCAGCCTCTAAGATCAGTTCCTGATACAGCACTTGCGGGAACTGTCTCTGCGGTCAGGGTATTCCCGCCTACCTTGCAGGGATGCGCCCGGCTGCCTCCAGCTCCAGTGGCTCCACCTGAGATGCCGCTAGGAGGTCAGTCGAGCTGTCTGCAAACAACGGGCCTTTAGTTTTCAGGTGGCGAAACTGACCGGTCTGGCTAAAGCGCGTCCAAGCCAAGCCGCAGTGCTGTTTGGATTCTAAAATTTCTCCTTCTGAGTGAGAAAATAGCAATCGAGATGGACCTATCCGGTTGGTGCCATTTTAACTTTTAGTATCCCAACAGGTGAAAGACACAACCCTTTATCCTCTCTCATTCTTCTCTCCTTCCCACCATCACCTAGGCGGGAGAGGGCTGAAACTAAGGGTGGGCTATGGGACCGGAAACTTGTGGCCCGAAGTTGCTAGGGGGCAGCCTGCGAGGAGTCACTTGTTGCTCTGTTTCCCAGCCACCTCTTACAGCCGTTTCGCAGTGGTCAGCTTGTGGCTTGGAGAGCTGGCTGGGACGTTTCGGTGCTGCCAAGTTTTGCCCTCGAGTGGGCTAGGGAGTTAAATGAGAGGTGGAAAATTGGGGAAGCAGAGCCAGGAATTCGGATCAAAATAAGTTTGTCTTTTCAAGATGGATTCAACATTTAATGAGCGCCTTTGGGATACAGGCCCAAGCTTTGGGGGTCTGGGAGAGTTGCCTCATGATGATGGGAAATGAACCAATAGAACTGAATTAAGACAGGAGCTCACAGCCTGAAGGGTGAAATACGGTAACAAAACCTTCCCACAAATGAATGTCAGGGCAGACATACTTTTTCTTCTCTCCGTTTCCTATTTCTTTCCTTCTTTTTCGCTCTTCTTTCTGTTTCTTCATGTTGTTGTTTTGTACATTCCAGTACCCGGCAGCATAAATGACAGAAAATAGTGAATACGAACAGGAATAGACAGTGCCGCGGCCCTCCCCCCACCCAAGACATTTTTCCCTAGGACATGAAAACTCTTTGATATTGAAGGTGCTAGTTGTTGTTGCTATGGGTCGGAACCGACTCGACGGCACTTAACAACAACAACAGTTGTTGTTGAGTGCTGTCCAGTCAGTTCTGACTTATAGCGACCCTGTATAGGGTTTCCGAGGCTATGGTTCTTTGCGGGAGCTCTCCTACAGAGCTGCTGGTGGGCTCTAACAGCCAACCTTGTGGTTCAAAGTTCAGTGCATATAGTCTGAAGCCACCGATCTCCCCTGGAGGTGCTAGTGTTCTTTCTAAAAGAACCCTGGTGTAGGTAGTGGGTTACAGTTGGGTTGCTAACCTCAAGGTCAGCAGTTTGAATCTACCAGTCCACTCTTGGAAGAAAGATGAAGCTTTCTGTTCCTGTGAAGATAAACAGATTGCTATGAGTTGGAACCTACAGACCGCATGCAGCAGCAGCAGCAGCAGCAGCAGCAGCAGCAGCAGCAGCAGCAGCAGCAGCAGCAGGGTTTTCTAAAACAATGTGGATTAAGAGGCTTGAAGGAGTGGGGATCCAATCAAGCAATGGTGGGAGACCCAGAAACTGAATATTGTTTTTTTCTCATGTTTTCTTTTTACCCCCTCTCTTTCTCTACTTTTCATGCACCATCCCCCATGGCCTCCCCCTAAGTAAATGGTGCAAAGGCAATTCAAACAGAGATAGTAGTGCTCTGATCATTGCAGTATTGATCACTGCAGCTAGTATACATAGTTGTTGCTGTTGTTATGTGCCATGGAGTTGGTTCCGACTCATAGCAACCCTGCACAGGGTTTCCGAGGCTGTTAATCTTTACGGGAGCAGAAAGCCTCATCTTTCTCCCGCAGAGCAGCTGGTAGTTTCAAACTGCTGACCTTGTGGTTCGCAGCCTGATTCGTAACCACTATGCTACCAGAGCTCCTTGGGCTTCTAAAAAAAAGCTTCTAGGTAAATAATGTAAGTTTACAGAGGTGTTTTATTTTCTGATTTGGGAGGGGGCTCTTTTATCCTTATTCCTCTTGTCCTTTGGTATTTGAACCTAGTAATCATTTCTTCTGAAGCCCTTTGAGTCATTACAGGTTTGACTTGACTACTGGTTAGGAGTGCTAGATCCTGATCCTAGTACCACTGCTGCCAGACTGGAAAGCCACTGAATGTCTGTGTCTGTTTTCCCCTCAGAAAGATGAATGTGGCTGGGGCAGATGTCCTAGAAAAGTCCAGTGCTAGGACAGTCTTGGAGGGGCCTTGAGGCATAGAGAAAATTGAAACATTCTTAGCTACTCTCTGACTCTGGCTGTCTCTAACTCCCAGAACACCTTGATTAGTCTTGATCTTTTACAGGCATGCCACAAAGCAGGGCTTTGGAGCCCTAGGGCATTTGCGTTGGGGACTTGTTCCTTCCCTGTCTTGTGCAGCGGCCTCCAAAGCTTTCTAGGTATTCCTTGTCCTGTGTTTTCACTTAATCCCAGTCCCAATGAAGGCTTCAGCTTTCCAGCCCTGGTACTGATGGCCAGTTAAGACAGTCTGTCACTTACTCAGGGATGTTCCTGCCTTCAAAACCAGGAGCAGTACCATCCTCTTCCCCACTTGCCTTCTCTGCAACTTCGGGCTGTGTGTGAGGAAAGAGTCATGTATGTTCCCTCCTAGTGATTTGGCTGTGTGGGCAGCACCTAGCAGAATCAAGCACCTTTTCTATCCTAGACACAAGTTCCAGCTTGATCTCCTCCACTTGCCCCGGTGGTCTCTGGTCTTGGATCTATACCCTGTCACCATTCTTGCCTTGTAATTGTGTGTAATAGCTCTGTTTCTGCTAGTGCTTTCTTGGTCAGTAAAGCCTTTTGTCCTTATCATGTCTTCTCCCTCACATACAGCACAACAGCTCCAGCTGGCAGCATCACCTCCCACCAACTTATCCAACTTCTGCCAAGGCTCTGAAATGCCAACTATGTCGAGGTCTGCACTTGATGTCAAGGGTGGCACCTCACCTGTGAAGGAGGTAACTTGCCATTTTACAGATGGAGACACAGAGGCATGGAAAGACTGACTTGTCTGGGGTCATGTGCTAAGCCTTTCTATGGTTGATATCTTAATGCCCGTTGATAGAGCGTAGACAGCAGGACTTTCTCTGGTGAGAATGAGAATAGCTTTTGCCTAAATGTGATCAAATTGAGCCCTTTAGAAGTGTTGAAAGATGGCAGAGAATGGAGTAGAGAAGTAGAATTGGGAAAATACCACCCCATTGAAAATATTAAAATGAAGCTGGGAAGAAGGACAGTAAGACATCCTTTTAAGAATAGTGAGCTGAGGGTCAGAGGAAGAGAAACAAAAATAGTCATACTAACCCACTTTGGAGTCTTGGTGTGGTGTTATAGGATAAGCATTAGACTGCTAACCGGTTCAAACCCACCAGCTATTCCTTGGAAATTTTATGAGTTACAACCGACTCAATGGCACTTAACAACAACAATCCACTTTGGATGACAGGTGTCAACAGCACTAGAACTCGAGATTGATCTCAGTACTCAGAGCCATGAGAACAAAAGGATGCTCAAGCTGGGAGCCCAACTCTCTAGGAAGATCTCTTGCTATCTTTCTATCACGAGCTTCAAATAGAGCATATGTAGGACTCTTCTGAGCCTGATAAATGGCAAGGAAAATAAACAAGAGCAGGTGTACTATGGCATGCCTTTCTCTGTCTTCTAGGATGCCAACCAAGAGATGAACTCTCTGGCCTACCCTAACCTGGGAGTGAAGGATCGCAAAGCAGTGGCCATTCTGCACTACCCTGGGGTGGCCTCAAATGGAACCAAGGCCAGTGGGGCTCCCACTAGTTCCTCAGAATCTCCATCTCCAATAGGCTCTCCTACCACCACCCCTCCCACTAAACCCCCACCCTTCAACCTGCACCCTGCCCCACACCTGCTGGCCAGTATGCAACTGCAGAAACTTAATAGCCAGTATCATGGGGTGGCCACCACCACTCCAAGTCAACCTGGGGAGGCAGGGCCCCTGCAAAACTGGGACTTTGGGGCTCAAGTGGGAGAGGCAGGGTCACTCTCTCCTTCTACTGGTGCCCAAAGCCCTGCTATCATTGATTCGGACCCAGTGGATGAAGAGGTGCTAATGTCACTGGTGGTGGAACTGGGACTGGACCGAGCCAATGAACTTCCAGAGCTGTGGTTGGGGCAGAATGAATTTGACTTCACTGCAGACTTTCCATCTACTTGCTGATGCCAAATATCCCTAAAGATGGAGCAATAAAGCCACAGTTCTGTTGTAAATAAAAATAAAAGTTACTTACAAAGAGATGGGCAGACTAAGAGTGTTCTTCATTGAGGTCTAAAGGTGTGTGGTGTGTCTGGTCTGATGTTCTTTTAGTAATTCTTAAGCCCATGTTTGGGTTGAGGGTGGATAGCTCAGAAGGAGATAGATAGGATGGGAGAAGTGGGGTCGGCTGCTCACTGAATCCTACCATACTTCTGTAGCCCTACTTGCTGCCACCACCACTGATATTATCTCCTCAGGAGTCCAAGTACTAGCCCTTGCCCACCTCATTGCCCTAACACCCCAGGAACTTTGTCCAATTTGGAGCTGAATACAGGAACTGATTGAAGGGCATTCTTGGGAAAGAAACTAGGCAAGACCCTTCTTCAGCCTTCTCACCACTTGTACATCCATGTCTAAAAGGTGCTGATCACATACTTCACCAACTCTAGAAACTGCTACCCCATCCACTCTCCAGCTATGATCCAAATGACCCCTTAAGGCCATTCCTTTACCTTTTGTTTATGGGCAATAAATAGAGCTTAAGAAGGATCCTCTGACCTGGGAACTCTAATTTCTCTAAAAAATTGCAACATATGCCCATTAAGCTGGGATTCTAAGTGCCTTCCTCAAGTCACTCAGACAGCTGTTCAACCCCTCCCTCCAAGTCAGTCTGGTACACTCTAAACTAATCTAAGTGTCCCCTAATTCCTACCTCCTTAACCCTCCCTGTATTGGGACAGCCTACTGCCTCTCAATCTTGTATATACAGAGCATGGCTGGGCTTGACAAGTTCAATGTTTGAGGCTATATCCCTTTCCCTTAGACTAGCTGTTAAGGAGGCAGTGGCATCAGGAACATGCCAAGTAATGAGGAAGCAGCACAGAACTGAATCTTGGCATTGAGGGGCCCTGACCCAGCCCCCTCCTCATGCTGATACAACTGAAATGTCTTTCAGTCTCCTCAGCTTACATTTCAGAATCCCAGAGTCAATCTTCCATTGTTGTTGGTAGATGCTTTTGAGTTGGTACCAACTCATAGCGATCTTATGCACAACAGTCCTGGTCCTGCACGCGTCTCACAATCATTGCCATGTTTGAGCCCATTGTTGCTGCCACTGTACCAATCCATCTCGTTGGGGGTCTTCCTCTCTTTTGTTGACCCTCTATTTACCAAGCATAATGTCCTTCCCCAGGGACTGGTCCCTCCTGATAATATGTCCAAAGTTTAAGCATCCTGGCTTCTAAGGAGTCTTCTGGCTGTACTTCTTCCAACACAGATTTGTTTGTTCTTCTGGCATTCCATAGCACTTTTAATATTACCCTCTGATAATCATAACTCAAGTGCACATTAATTCTTCTTTACTGAATAGTCTTCCTTATTCACTGTCCAACTTTCACTTGCATATGAGGATATTGAAAATACCATGGCTTGGGTCAGGTTCACCTTAGTTCTCAAACTGACATCTTTGCTCTTCAGCACTTTAAAGAGGTCTCATGCAGCAGATGTACTTACTGCAATACGTCGTTTGATTTCTTGACTGCTGCTTCCATGCATGTTGATGGTTGATCCAAACAAAATTAAGTCTTTGACAACTTCGATATTTTCTCCATTAATAAGAATGTTGTTTATTGGTCCAGTGGTGAGGATTTTTGTTTTCTTTACCTTGAGATGTAACCCATACTGAAGGTTGGGGACTTTGATCTTCATCAGTAAGTATTTTAAGTCCTCTTCATTTTCAGCAAGCAAGGTTGTATCATTTGTATATAACAGGTTGTTAATGAGTCTTCCTCCAATCCTGATGCCATGTTCTTCATATAATCCAGCTTCTCGGATTATTTGCTCAGCATATAAACTGAAAAAGCATGGTGAAAGAATGCAACCCTAGTGTACACCTTTCCTAATTTTAAACCATTCAATGTCCCCTTGTTCTGTTGGAACGACTGCCTCTTGGTTTGTATAAGTTCTTCATGAGCACAATTAAGTGTTCTGAAATACTCATTCTTCTCAATGCTGTCCTTAGCTTGTTATAATTCACACAATCAAAAGCCTTTACATAGTCAATAAAGCACAGATATTTTCTTTCTGGTATTTCTGTGAATCTTCCATGAATACTGAAAAATACTCCAGTAAGCCTCTCAGACTAACATCAGGTCTCATCTCCTGGTGAGATCTTTAGGAGGAGTCTTCTAGCAATTCATTGGATTCAGTCCTCCCTAAGAACCTGTTCTGGCAAGCACTTGTTAGGCACTGGGAACATCAATAAAGTTTGTACCTTTGGGGGAGTTCCCCATATAGAGGGAGAATTACAGAACAACATAGTATTTCCTACAACATGAGGGAGGGGGAAATGCTATTAGATTGCAGTAAAGGAAATAACTCCATCTGCCTGGGAAGTTTGGGGAAAGCTTCTTGACATTAAACTGGTTTGTTTGTTTGTGTTTGTATTTCACAAATAGTAAATACATGATACAGTCTCCTTATAAAAAGTAGGAACTTTATAGATAAAACTAAAGTACCCTTTGACCAACTGTCCCTCAATCCTGATTGCTCTTGCCCTTCACAGATGTGGCAATTGTTTATCTTTTGTGATGTATGCTTAAAGGCCTTGCTCTGTACTTTCACATACAGATATGTCTACCTGAAGAATGAATTAGGCTTTAAAATGAGACTTGTTGTTGTTGTTAAGTGCCATGGAATCAGTCCTGACTCATAGTGACCCTGTATAGGGTTTCCAGGGAGCAGCTGGTGAGCTTGAACTGCCAACCTTGTGGCTCAAACGACCTTGCAGTCCAGTGCATTAACTCACAGCACCATACCAGGACTCCAAAGTAAGAGTAGTAGTCAGCAAAGGAAACAAATGAGTGAGGGGAAAATCTGCTATACAGATACAGGTTCATGAAAAGGACTGCAGTGGCAAAAAACCAGGAGTTGAACATGCAGGGTCATAGGGTTTGTAGAGGGTAGTGGGTGGAGATGAAACTGAAGAAGCTTTCTGGAAGCCGAGTACACAAGGCCTTTGAGATCAGGCAGGGAGCCATCCTTTATCCTTAGAATTGTCAGTCTTCTAAGATGTTTGTAGGTAAGCAAATGATTAACCAACTTTGATTTTTAAAATGATCCCACTGAAGGTTGGATTCATTTAACGAAAGGAACAGAGACAAGGGTGTTGCGATAATGAGGCAGGAATAGGGAAACAGAAAATAAAGTCTGGGAGATGGGGAGAGAGAACAAGAACATCTTAAGGACCTGGAAGTCTGTATGAGGAGAAGAACAGAAGAGCAGGATTTGGGGAGACACAGAAATTGAAGGAGAAAGGGGGAAGCTATGATCAGAAGGTGGATTTCAGAAGCTGGAAAGCTGTTAGTGACCACAGTAGCAGGGTGTGGGCACAGGAGTGGGTTCTAAGTGGAATGGCAGGGTATGGAAAGTACCTAGACACTATAAGGTTGGAGGGTTTAGAGGTCCCTTTCCCACTGGGGCCTTCAGAAAACATGTTTCTGGTCAAGCAAAAGTCAATGGGCTAGATTCAGTGTCTGGTCCCCTGTTTACCAGCCCTGACTACTGTGATGTCATCAGCTCCTGTGGGGTGGGGAGGAGCCTGAGCCAAGGGAAAAGAGGATGCCTTGGAATCATGGAGGTGACAGGGATGCAGCTGCAGAGCAAATGGTGGAGGGGAATGGCCCGAGCATTCACAGAGAAAGTGTTTCTGAATGAGGTGGGAGAACAAGAGCTTTGGCATAGCAACCCTGTCTCCTGGTACTAGGACCCAGAAGTGTACTTCAAAGAGGGAAGAGGGGTTTTCATGCTAAAAGAAACATTCTTTGATGGTTACCAGGGTGGGAGAGAAGGGAGAGTAATTCACCGGCTAGAACGTAGACATATGTTACCCTCTTGAATGACGGGGAAGGCAATATACAAGAAGGAGGTTGGCAGAAGAATGATGAAGACAGGGGAAGGCACAGGGAGGAATGCAAGAGTTAAAGGGAATAGAGGCAAATATTGTTATATATGCAACCCTGCAACAACCATTTTCTACAGGTTGAAAGGTATGGGAAGGAGCATGGGAGTATACCCACAAATATATAAGGCTTTGACAGAGGATATTTGTACATGAGTATTTACCCTTGCTGCAAACACAACCTATGAATGTGGTGGAGCATATAGGGGACAAAATAATGAAAATTTCTTAGACATTCCTAAACATTCCCAAAGAGTTGCTGGGCCTGAGGACTCAGGACCATAGTCTCAGGGGACACCATGGTCAACTGGCGTAACATAGTCCATAAAGACAATGTTTTACATACTACTTTGGTGAGTAGCAACTGGAATCTTAAAAGTTCATGAGAAGCCATCTAAACTACAACTACTGGTATCTCCATGTGCAGAAGAAAAAAAGAGTGATGAAAATTGAAAATGCTTGGAATCAATTAGTCCAATGGACTGACGAAACATGTGAACATCAGTCTCCACGACTCTGAGGCAAGAAGAACTAGATGGTGCCCAACTGCTAAGGATCCCAACTGAAAGGGATCACATTAGAAGGTCCTGTATAGAGTGGGAGACAGTGTAGAACAAAACTCAGAATTATAAAAAAGACTGGACTTACTGGTTAGGAAAAGACTGGAGGAACCTGAGACTATGGCCCTAGGCCACCCTTCAGGTCTGGAATGGAAATCACCCTCATGGCCCAATTTTCAACCAAGCAGTAGTTTGGTATATAGCTGGGACAACAACTCTAGTAAGGTATGCTCACCATTCAAGATCAAAAGGGCAACATTTACCTAAGGACAAAGTTCACAAGGGTTGGGAAGGAAGGTAGAATGTAAATAATAACCACAGGGAGGAAGAGGGATAACTGTTGTTACATGGAGGGGATTGCAATCATTGAGATGAAATAAAGTATATGATTTGTTGTATGTAAAACTGATGATCTGCTCTGTAAACCTTCATCCAATTCACATTAAAAAGTTTCAGAAACACAGGCTGAATGAGTATAGGAGGAAGAGTGGGATATGTATATATTTATCCCGCAAACATGTAAGAGTT